TTTGAAAGTAATATTTAGATGAACCTCCTCCAAAAGGTTACAGAAGAAAGGTAGCTATTTCTTGTAAAAATAAATGCATAATAAAACCCAAAGAATTTCTCTCGAAAACTAATTTTAGTGGAAATTTTTCAGGTAGTTTCAGTGAGCTGTGGAGCTCAGCACGCCCTCTGGTGCCAGAACCAGGTTTCACAGGCCCTGAAACCTGCCAGCTCCCTACAGCAAAACCAGAGATCAAGTTCAAAAAGGAATTAAAAAAACCCCAAACAACCAAATCCACACTCGTGGTGATATTCATCCTGCTTTCTCCAAGAATTCCTCCAAAAATCAAAAATAACAATAGAAGTGAAATTGGAATATTTGTGTGTGTGCATGCTTTGAGTAAGAATTAATCCTCTGACTTACAAAACATAGACGGGTGCCTCACTCAGTCTCTTTAGGGATCTGTATTGCTGTGCCACGTTTACACAAAAGCAAATGGAAAGGGGATTTGCCTGAGGTCAGACTGAAGCCAGCAGAGTCTTTGCAGGGAAAGAGGCTGTTTCACATGGAAAGCCAAAACATCCAAAAATGGGGCACAGGAGATCAGCTCCAGCACCAGTTCATCCAACACTGTTGCATGACCGGGATGGAATTTTTCAAGTCCCAGTTTCCCTACTCTTTAAGAGTGGGCAATAGTGACAGATCCCCATCTTGGGAAAGGGCTGCTTACTGGTAGGTGCTGTTTTCCAGCAGACATGCTGGCTCTGCAACAGCGCTTTCAAGATGAACTTGGTGTCTGACTGCCAGATCCAGGTTTCCTTTCTTTGACACATTATAGAGAAAAGGCAGTGATCTCCACTTTCCCAAGGGGAACGCTTTCAAAGCGACTAGAAAGACACCAGCTCTAGCCTGATGACATAAATCACTTTGATGAGCCTTCAGGTATGTCCTGTGACTTGACTTAGGGTTCTGTTTGCCAAAAGGGAATCATAATCTCCTCAGTGATCCCACACAACCTCCCACAGCTGTCTGGCCAATCCTGCTACAAGGAAACCCAAGTTGCTTGTGAATCAGTTCCTGAGCTGCAGCAGTTTACAGGACTGAACTTTTAAACAAAGCAAAGGCAGAAATGGTCTTCAGAAAGCTGTGCAAGCATTCTGGCAGCTAAAAAAAAAAAAAGTCACAACCACACATTCAAACCCCACAGACACAGTAGTTCCCTGGTGACAGCTATGGCACAGGCATCCCAAGCAAATCCATCCCCCTGCATTAATCCAAATACCAGGTCTCTGAAGACTCCTGGTTTGTTTAAGCCTCTCCTTATTTGAGACGTCAAACTTCCATTTCTAGCTGCTGGACTAGACAGAACACTGAGGGCCAAAGCCATAAAACCCCTGGACTTCTCTAACTTTTCCTTGCATCTTAAGTGCGTTGTGCTGGAGTGTGTCAACAGAAGGGCAATGAAGCTGGTGAAAGGACTCGAGCACAAGTCCTATGAGGAGAGGCTGAGGGAGCTGGGGTTCTTCAGCCTGAAGAAGAGGAGGCTCAGGGAAGACCTCATCACTCTCTACAACTCCCTGAAAGGAGTTTGTAGCCAGGTGGGTGCTGGGGGGCCACCCATCACAAATCTTAAGCTACCCAAGTTTAGTGTCCAGCTTTCATCAGCCTTTATCCTTTTGGCAATCTTTCTGGATCTGTCTGGACTGAAAGAGCTTTGAATCTGGAGTCACACCTTTTCCATTGCAAAGGTTTCCCAGTTCCAGTTACTCCACATAGGAGAGCAGCACCTGCCTGTGTTTTCATGCCCCAAACAGGAACATGCTGTCACACTCATCCACGCAAGAGAAGCCCACAGGAAAGCTGTCTATTTTCATTGCCTGATCATCTGGGACACAGAGCTCAGTACGTTGCAACTCTGCCCCATTTCACACTCCAGGTAAAGAAGCATGGGGGCAGCTCAAAAGGAGGACGTGTTTTCCTTCAACAAGAGCTCCTGACTTGCTTTATTTTTCTCCACGTAAGCAACTAGAAACAGATGTCTCAGCCTCCTTGTACCAGTCACTCATTTAACAAAAGCTCTGTCCTGTTTGTACAGCGTCCTTGTTCTCGCACCCTTAACTCATCATTACACAGAGATAAATTATCAATGCTCAGCCTTGTGATGCTGCAAGGAAGAGGGCTGATTCCTCAGGAATAAGGAAAACAGCACATGAGAGGGATCAAATCACAAACCTTGCACCATTTCGTATTAGCTCCTCTCTGTTTCAACAGGATCACGTGCTTTCAGGCCAACTAAGAGGCAGTAGTACCTCAGTAAATATTTTTAAAATGTGTTCACAGGATCTGACCTTTTGCTGGCCTCCTTTCCTCAAGATGCAAGACGCCTCTATGCTGCCCCTGACACCACACTGTAATGTTTAAGCCTTGAACACCTACACACTGCCTTGGAGTTCTTTGCCTCCTTACAGTATCTTTTAACTTCTACCTTCCACAGCAAGAAATACAAGCTTTGCAAAAGAACCACTTAACCACGGTAATATCACTGTCAGAAACTGCAAGAATTACATGTTTTAAGCTATCATATTTAAAAAAAAAAAAAAGAAAATCACCCAAAGCCCTTTTCTACCCCTAGCTAGCCACTTCTTAGTGGCATCAATAGGTCAGAACACACAGTCTTTCCTGCTCGCTTTTTCATACGTGGCTTTGTCACATGAAGGTGACCACTAGAGTGGGGCCACAACCCCCTTTCAAAATTGAACTCCAACTTCAGCATCGGACACACAACCACATACAATGCTCTCCCAGGATCACGGGTTTTGCTCACACTCTCCTGGCACAGAGAAAGCCACTCTTGCACAGGGATGCACAAAGAGACCCAAGACCACAGCATAAAGCACTAGCCATGACCCTTCCCTAGCATCCTGCCTAGAGCATGGAGGAAACACTACATTTTCTACTTTACCTGGTAGAAAGAGATGAAAAAAAGCACTTACCATTTGATGTAGGCATTTCCAGTATGCACCTCAAGAAATCTCTCTCACCACTTTGAGCAAAAGAAGGCCCCTCAGGCCCAGCCTGGCCTTCACCTCTGGTTTTAAAGGGTTCCCATCAGACAATGCTGAGGGCAAGGCTGCTGGTCTTTACTGTAGCTGACAGGAGGCTGATTACCCAGAACCAAAGTCTATCTGATATATCTAAGTGTTGGGGTTTTTTTCTTTTTAAGGTAAGAAGAGCATAGCTTGCTGCAGATAGATCCAAATCTTTTGTAATTGTTGCCTTTGCTGGTGGTTTGTTACCAGCTTATGATGCTCTGGGTGAATTGAAAACTATCATCCACATTTCTGACTTTTTGGTTTTTTTCATCACTTGGGTCAAGAGAGCTAACAGGTGAACTCACTAAGAGAAAGACAGAGAAAAGGTGGATGGCTTAAAGCAGCCAAATTACCTACACCTTGCAATTAGATTAAAGGCAACCAGGTGATTTGGCTCTTACAAATAGTTGTTTCTTTCCACCGACAAAAAAATGTGCCTGAATGATTAGTTAAAGTCAGGTGTGATGGATCCCACCCCTTGTCTTGTTGCATTTCGGTGTCTGATGTTCTGAAGAAATATTGCCCTTGGTTTCAAAAACAAGAAAGTGGATCATCCCATCTGCTCTAGCACCTTGTCTAAGATAGAAGCCAGCAAAAAGTGTTCAGAGAATCATAGATCTTTTTAGGTTGGAAATGATCTTTAAGATCATCAAGTCCAGCCATTAACCTAGTACTGCCACGACCATCACTAAACCATGTCCTCAAGTGCCACATCTACATGTCTTTTAAATACCTCCAGGCATGGTGACCCAGCTACTTCCCTGGGCAGTCTGTTCCAGTGCCTGACAAGCCTTTTGTTAAAGAAATCTTTTCCTAATATCCAATCTAAACCTCTCCTGGTGCAACTTGAGGCCATTTCTTCTTGACCTATTGCTTGTCAATAGGACAACTGCTTGTCTTGAGAAAAGAGACTGGCCCCCACTTGGCTGCAGTCTCCTTTCAGGGAGTTGTAGAGAGTGATGAGGTCTTCCCTGAGCCTCCTTTTCTCCAGGCTAAACCCTCCCAGCTCCCTCAACTGCTCATAGGACTTACTCTCTAGAACCTTCACCAGCTTCGTTGCCCTTCTCAAGACTCACTCCAGCACATCAATGTTCTTGTAGTGAGGGGCCCAAAACCAAACCCAGCATTCAGGATATGGCCTCACCAGTGCCCAGCACAGGGGGATGATCCCTTTTCTGGTTGTGCTGGCCACACTATTTTTGATACAGGCCAGGATGCCATTGGCCTTCTTGGCCACCTGGACACACTGACAGCTCATGTTCAGCCAGCAGCCCCAGGCCCTTTTCCGTCAGGGAGCTTTCCAGCCTCTCTTACCCAAGTGTGTAGCACTGCATGACGTTGTTGTGACCCAGGTGCAAGACCCGGCTCTCATCTTGTTGAACCTCATGAAATGGGCCTCAGCTCATTGATCCAGCCTGTCCAGATCCCTCTGCAGAGCCTTTGTATCCTCCAGCAGAGCAACACTCTTGCCCAGTGCAGTGTGGCCTGCAAACTCGATCCTCCCATCCAGATCACTGATAATGACATTAAACACAATACCCAACCCAAAGAGATCTCTCTTTAACCTCCTGTAAGTCTGAGGCTTGTCTGTGCCCTGAAGGAGGAGAATTTAATATTCTTTGCAAAACCCCTGGCTTTGGATAATCTATGCTATTGTAACTCTGGACGAGCTTGTTTTCCACAAAAATACCCGGTATGTTTTTAACCTTGCTGAGCTCTTGATCACCACAAGTATCTTGTCCCTATTAATACCACGAGGTGGCTCTGAGGGGAAACTGGATGCACTCAACACGTTTAAAACGCTCAACTTTGACTCCTTCCCAGGCTTTCTAGACAAACCCCAAGGAGGAGGCAGCACCCCGTGTGGCACAGATGTGTCTGCTGGTTTAGTGGTATCACCAGTTCATGGGATTTTTCCTGTCCCCCCAGGGCGTGAATCCTCATCTCCGGATCAACGGGCCGATGAACATCAACCACTACGCGACGAAGAAGAGCGTGGCCGAGAGCATGCTGGATGTGGCACTGTTCATGGCCAACGTCACGCAGCTCAAAGCCGTGCTGGAGCAGGGGCCGTCCTTCCAGTACTATGCCACCCTCATCGTGCTCATCAGCATCTCCCTCTTCTTCCAGGTGATGATCGGGATTCTCCTCATCATCACTGGTAAGGTGGCCACTGAAGGCTGTGCACCCTGGCAGGGTGCTGCAGGGGCAGAGAACCCCATGGCTTGGCTGGTGTGGGGGTGGAAGGGAGAAGCCTCTTCTCCCAAATCATTCCCTTCTGGCTCCAACCAGGGCTGCAGAAGGGTTGAAGGCAGCTTGATGCAGGTGGTAGGGAGGTGTGTGTCACTGCTTGTCGAAGTGCTGAGTGGGTTGTTTTTCACTTGCACAACATCTCTGAGCACAACTCTTCCTTCACTTTCCCACTGCTGACCCTTGGTCACAGTGAAGGACCTGGGTTTTGGCCAAGGTGGGCCATTTGCTGCCCTTGCTGTTATATGCTCTTTCAAGTAGCTCCTGCAGACACTACATTTTAGCCTTGAGCTTTTGGTCTCACTTCAGCTGTGACTTAACAGAACAACTTAGGCAGAGGTATTTCCTGTATTAACACCACTTTAACCAATTCCACAGTTCTCCTAGTGCCCTACAGACAGTATATTAACATCAGCATTTCAGACAGGCTTCTCCAGTGCTCCATCTGATACAGGAGTTGCTATATTTCCACCTCCAACACTGCTCACTATTAAAAGCCTGCAGAACACTGCTATTTCCTGTATATCCTCTGTGGGCTTTTATGTGGGACAGAGGATTGAAGGCTACGGGACATCCTGTGATGTGTTCCTTCCCCTGCCCCACATGCCACAGCCTTTCCTGCTGGCAGCTGTGGTGGATGGAGCCAGCTGTGAGGAGAAAGGGGACAGGGGACCACAGCTGAGAGCAGGGAGCTACAAGGCTGCTGCTCACATGGCTTATTGGCCAGACAGCCTCCGTAAACCTGAATTCCTGTTGTCTAAACAGGTCAGTGTCCATCAGCTAGGGATGATCCCATTTATGTACCCAGATACCTTCTGGTCTGTGGGTGAGGAGGGGGTTGATAGCTGTGTCAGATCACATATATGAGATCTGGGTATCAAAGAGGAACAGGCATCCCCACCCAAGTACAACATTGCTGACCTTGTCTCTCATGTCACACAGCCTTCCCTCGCCATGTCCCATGGCCATGCAGTACAGGGGGCGTGGCACACATCTGGCTCATGTGCAGCAGTAACTTGGCTATTTAGGGTTGACCCACTGCAGGGCCACGGCACCTCCACGACAAAACAAATACATGACATTAAAAAAAAAAAGTGTTTTTCTCTGCTCCGTTCTTCTACATCATCTTAGAGCAAGTTGTGGCTCCTGTTAAATTCCTGGGACTATTCCCCCTGCTCTGTGGCCTCAGTGCCCAGGGACACCATGGACATTCATCAAGCAGGGAAAGCTTGTATGGGCTGGGGGACTTGGAGTCAATCTGCAAACCTCCCTCTCTTTTTGCACTGTATCGCACAGCTCGTTTGAACCTGAATGACATTGCAAAGCAACCCCGCCTGAACATTCTCAACAACGCTGCCACAGCTCTCATCTTCATCACAGTCATCCTCAACATCTTCATCACAGCCTTTGGGGTACAGAAGACTGGCCTCTACCCTAACAGGAATTTTCGACCTTATTAAGTCATGGGGCACGGAGTCAGGTAAGAAAGGGGTGAGCTCCCACCACGGCCGGCCCCTGGGAGGGCTCTCAATTTCAGAAAATATCATTGTGAGGTGGAGAAGGCAAAGATGCACAAATTAACAAAGCCTGTCTAGAGGCATGTTGCTGTCCCACAAGAATCTGGGGCCACTGAACAAATTCCCTCAGAGAAGCAGGATTTCTCCTTTAAAACAAGACCACCAAACATCCCAGTTGCTGGGATTTATCAGCAGCAAGTGGTTTTTGGAAGGCTGCAGACTTCATGCTAGACACAAATTGCACTTGTGGATGGGAGCTAAACTTGGGAAAGAAAATGCATTCTGGGAGGTATCCAGAGATGGCAGCACTATTAGCAGAAGAAAAGGAACGTGCTGGTTAGGCCAGGGTAAAAGAGCCCTTCTCAACAGCCAGTGTGGTTTGGCAGGGACTCTTTTAAGAATCCAGTGCTCATTTTCAACAGTCTTGTTAATAAGAGTCCAACCAAATGCCTGGGTTCCCATGTCAGGTCAGTGAGGGAATGACACGTTCTTAGATCAAAAGAACTTTAGGTCAAGAAGTAAAGGTCACAGCTCTTGCTAACATGGCCTGTAACATGTAAACACAGTTTAAATGCAATATACTGGGGCAACAGCCAACAGGAAAGCTCAATAGACATATGATATGATGAGGAAGGATGCAAAGGTCAAAAGCCTCTATAAAAACACTGCTTGCTTGGGATCCAGAAGGGTGCAAGTGCTGAAGAGTAGCAGCCCACACGTGTAGGGGTGGTCATGGTGTCGAGTGACCCAGTATGCTGTGACTGCTCCTCTCTGGCTACACAGCACAGAGGAGCCTGCCCTGACCTTACTGGCATTTCTTATCTTCCCTGCAGGATCTGAGGAGTGCAGTTGGAAGGAAAAGCTCTCCTCCTCTACGTCTTCACTGACCTCAGCAGGAGCCCATTGACAAATCCAGAAAACTGGGTTAAACTTTCAAAACTCTGTGTGTGTCATGGTATACTGGCCCCCTCCTGTAATGCTTTTGCTGTTCTGAAGGGGTGGAAACATCACCTTTCCAAGCTAGAGCAAACTTTGCAAGGGAATAGCAGCAGGTACATGGTTTCAAAGCACAGTTCTGTAAATCTCATCTCTTACTGCTTCACATATTCAATACTGGCTCATTCGGTAGAGAAGACTGAATGATTTACTTTGTAGGCTAAATAAATAAGAAGAGTCCAGCTTTTTTTTTTTGTCTCAAACGTAAGTCTCTCTCCTTAAAGCAATTCTATCTAATAGTTTACATCCCAAGTGTTGGAATGGGTTTCTCACATTAAAAAAAAAGTTCTCATGGGAGGACAGAAAAGTGTGTGCACGTCAACATAGTTAAACCAGTTCAAATGTTTTGCTAGTTGTTTAAAATTAAATGCAACACAGTTAAGAAAACAATCAGGTACTTCCAGCATTGGAATATTAACAATGAGAAAAAATACTTATTATGGTCTGATGCCATCATCAGGGACCTATCAGGAATGATGTCAGAATGGCCTGACAGTAGTTAGTAGAAAATGAAGAAACATTATACATAAGGAAACAGTCTGGGCTTATTGCCACAATGAGAAATGACAGTTACATAGTGTATTACTTCATTAAATAATCACCATTATAGTTTAAGGTCTTATCAGTAATACAAATATTTTAAAATATATTGATTTTATATTGACAAATGCTGGAAATTCCCGTGGATTAGAACAATTTGTATCCTTAAAAAAAGAGATCCTTTGAATTAACAAGTTTTGAGATTTTTTCGAAAGAGTAAAAATTTTTGATTCTAAATTTAACTTTGTAGTCATGATAAGAAATGGATATTTTAATAGCCTTGTGTAAACCTGTTAAAACAATTACATGCTCTTCTGATTATTAAATGATTTTTTTCATTGTACTGCAAAATCAGAGTTCAATATGGATTTTTAATATTGCATATCCTTGCTACCACTGAGACAGAAATGCCATGAAAACATCCTCATAGTGGTCTTGAGGAGCTACTAGAAGTGTCTGACACTTAGAAATAGATACAGACAGATTTCATTTGTATTCTGTATTTGGCTTTACAGAACTAAATTTCACTGTAAGTCACAGGTGGTGCTTTTTTCTGAAGAGGGTGTGAATGACCTTGCTCAGAAGGTGGTGGGTAAGGCCACGGGCCAGCATCAGCTGGTACCTGCAACTGACTTTTTGGCAGCTGAAGGAAAGTTGCATAAAAAGAGGAGGGTGGAAAGTACCAGTTATGTATTTACCAGAATTTAAAGTGGCAAAGCTGAGCACGGTCTGGGATCTGTTTGGTGAAGCAGGCAAAGACTTGTCCTCCACTTTATCTGGGAGATGACAGGTCTGGAGTGACACTGGATTTGCTGCTTAACTCAGTCCTTGCTCTGTGCCAAGACTGACAGCAGACAGGGGTGGATGTTTCTGGGAAGCCTGTTATCCTGCTCTCCTCTAGAAAAAGGCTTCACTGTAGGGGTAACCAAGCCACTTGTAGGCAAAGCAAAACCACAAGCTAAGGGCTCTCAGCCACTACTGGCCAGCTGGGTTCATGAAAAGGTAAAATGTTATGCATTCTGTGCGCAGATCCCAAACCCTAGGACTCATTGCTTCATGAAGCAGGAGGCAAAGCAATTAGCATTGATGACTGAATGTAAAGAGAGGGAAAAAAATAAAAGGTTCAGCTGGGAAAGAAGCAGTGAGGGGAATTTCCTTACCAGATCTTAACTTCATCATTGTTTCAGAGAGCTACTAGATCAGGTATGACAGTACATGAGGCCTGCCTGAGCAGAGAAGGTTTCCTGTCACTCATCCCAGACAAGCAAAAGACTGGCAGCACACCAGAATATTTCTCCCCCATCACCTTTAATAATAATAATTTCTCATTATAATGAAATCACACTCATTAGCAACCTTGGCTGCCTTTTCCCCTCTCCATGTCTGACTCCCATTCCTGCCAAGCTTTTGATACTCAACACACAGCTGAAGCAAAAATGGGCCAAAATTGAATCTAAATAAGCAGCTGCTGTGAAAGAGTTGACCTCTCATTTGTGTAGACTGTGCCAAGCACCAAACCTGGGTCTAGGCTCTCACCTGTGGTCTTCTTCAGCAATTTTCCTCTGCTTGCAAGGAGGACCACTTTGTTTTCCACATTCTCTATGATCACATCACACCTGTGCTTTGGTGGGATGTGTATTTGTTCAGTGTTTCCACCTTGTTCCACATGACAAACCCAAGAAGACAGGAGAAATACTGTTGTGTTTCCATCCCACTTTCTGCAGACCTAGAGAGACTGAAACGGGTCTCGCTCCTGGCTAACCTTGCTTGCTGCATCTCCCACTCACTTCCTGCTGCAGAGTTCTTGCTGCCTTGGGCAAAGAGTGATCTGTCTCTCTGGTATTGCCTATGCTTTCGGTTATATGAAGACAGAGGAGCAACACTTGGTTTCTAATCCCTGCTGCATGGTGATGTGGTTGCGAGTAACACACAGACAGAAGTGAGCTCTTGTAGGAAGACAATGTATTTATAAAACACGAGGGAGAATCTGTACATCCCCCAGCTCCAACAGAGAGGTGGCCCAGGAGTTGTCTTGAAGGCACAGAGCCACTTTAAGGCAGGTAATTCAAAGGTACAACTCAGATTCTCAACACAAGGCATCTGTATCTAAAAAACAATCAACTTCAGACATTTGTAGGCAATAAGAAGAGATGTTCATACTGGGCAAACATTAAGACAATGACAAAACAAATCACATTATAATTTTCACACAAAACATTTTGCTCAGAACAAAAGCCAGCCCTTCTTCATTCCCTTTGCTGACCTGCAAAACAAGCCCCAGCCCCACAGTTCACAGTCCTGAAGACAGAGTCACACATTTCCAGGCAGAGCCCCCTTGCCCTACACTGCACACTTGGGGGCCCAGGGCCCAGAGCCTGGTCACATCCTGCCCCAGGGAAGGTCTCCCTTGAACCATGGTCCATCATCTCCCCAGCCAGAGAGCTTCCAGAGCAGCTTGCTCCTGTCTGATGCACGGAAAATCCCAAGCTACTGACTTCCTCCTGCCTTCGAGGCAGGACACAGCCAGGATGCATATCAAGGCCAGAAACTCGGCACAGCTTCCTAAAGAGATCCTAGCGAGAGAAATGGGATCAGCTGCTGGGGGGAGTCAGCTTCATGGCCATGGTGAAGCCAGGTTCCCTCTTCCCTCTGGGAGCTGTGCTGGACCCAGAGATGATGCAAGACATACGACACTAGTGATGGGGCAAACCCCTGTGGTTCTGGTCTGGCCACTACACTGGCTGGCCGTGTCCTTTCACTACACGGCTGTGGGACTACCTGCTCCTGCTGGGCTTCCTGCTCTCCTTGCCTCCGTGACTCTGCCTGGGGAAAAAAACTGCATGCAGGCTGTTTTGGAAGAGGGACAACAGCCCCAGAGCAAAGCCCAGCACTGCTCCTGCAAGGTTTGCTGCTGGCTGGCAAAACTGAGGAGAGTGTAGCCCCCTCTCTCTCTACCTGCACTGGTCTTTGAGCATGTGGGCTGGAAGACAGCTTTTGTCCCCATGGGCTCTCCAAGCTCCTCCATGGAGACTGCCAGCTAGTGCCAATTAGTATTAATCACGTTTACTACAGCAATGCTTAAATACCAACTGAGAATTCCCACTATGGTAGAAAGGGAAGAACATTTGAGATGGCAGCTTTGACAGCAGGGACACTGGCCATCAGGAAATGGGACTGAAAACCACTAACTCCTTACATCTCCACCAAGGAGCCCTCACGAGGTAGTTCTGCTTGACACTGGCCTGGGTTACAAGGTATGAAGGAAGGAGCACAGTCTCAGCCAAAAAACGGAGGCAAAATCCTCAAATTCTGCTGGCAGTGCTGCAGTGAGCGCTGCTTTCCAGTCCACTCTTTGATGACTGTCCTCTCTGGTGGGGAAGAGGGGCTACTCATATCATCATTAAGGCAAGTGAGTTACCTTCTGGATGCACCTAATTCTCGCCAGCGCCTGCAGATGAAAGCCAGCTGCTGACTTTAGGTGCTGCAGACCACATCTACAGCCAGATGTGAAAGCACATGGTACAAATAACCCTTCCTCCCTGTGCCTGACTTACAGGCTGCCACTGAATCCATCAGCTCTCCATCTGCAAAATGGGCATCATGCTGTTCTCAGCCTGATGGGGCCAGACAGCTGGTCCTGCTATTGCCTCACTGTGTCCCGGCATTCGCCCTTCCCGATAGCCTCTCCCCATTCCACAGGGATTGCGTGACAGAGCCAGCCTGGACAGGCTGGGGAGGCGCAGTCCTGGAGCCTGGAAAGCAGCTCACCTGCACTCTCGTGGGGCTGTTCCTGTGTTTTGAGTGAAGCACAGGCTCTGACATGCACCGAGAGCATGACTGACACTGCACATTCCAGGCAGAAACAGAGCTTATTGCAACATTGCATCACAAGGCCCTGGCCTCCTAAACTCCTATAACACTTTTTTGGAAAAAAAAAAAAAAAAAAGAAAAGTTGACTCTTGTCAGCCTGTTTCCTGGCTGACACCAGCTGCAGTGACTAATTTCTTAGTATCTACATGGGTAAAGTACTTTCCCTCAATAGGAAGACTGCTCTGGTTTGGGCAGATGGCTAAGGCTGCCTCTTCTGGGATACTCAGTGTCTTCATTCTGGTAAACGCTCTGTGGAGTCAGAGACACAGCTGTCTTTTGTCTACTTCTTATCATGGCTGCACACTGCACAGCAAAACTTTCTTCTATCTGGTTGCCTTTTTCTAACTCCATCAGTCACAAAACCCAGACTGATGCAAGCAGATGATTTGACAAGATTTCTATCTCACGTGCCAGAACTTGCATGTTCAGTTTTCTACAATAGTGGAACTTGATGGACTTGTCAAGCACCACAGAACCAGTAACAAATGAATGACTCCATCAGCAAAAAGCAAAAAAAAAAAAAATCAAGTACCATGTCAGCATTGCTTGTATTCTACATATCTCCATTACTCACGTCTCAACAACTCCCCACAGAGCTGGACCCCAAGAGCAGCATTCTGTGTCACATTCTCCCCTCAAGCTTGAGACCAGTAGCAGCCTTTTTAGGATGGTACGGGGACCACTGGAGCTCCAGTGTAAAGTCCTGAGTGTGCTGGGATTTCTGGGTGTATATAGTCTTCTAAAATGGTTACAGGGGAAAAAACAATCTTGCCTTGCATTAACAGGAGTTTTAGGGGATGAGAATTTCCTGTAGTGTCAGGCCAACTGTGGGCTCTTTCCACAGGTCTTGCATCAATGACAGCATGAGTCTGCCTATCCTTTTATTCACTCAACCCTCTTCTGTCCTCACCATTCTTTACATCCAGTGCATGTGCCAAGACCTGAGGCCACCTCCTCTGTATCAGGCCAGAGCTCTCAGGGCTGTTTCAGAGATGAAGCACCAAGAGCTGTGCTGGTTCTTCAACCAAGAAGCCTGCTCTCTACATAAGAGTCAAACTAGGACAAGACACAACTGCGAGGCCATAACTTATTAAATTAACTTTTAGATGCTGCATAAATGTACAGGATTTTGAGAGCAGAATACTCTGTCTCCTCTTCTGACAAAATCACAATATTTCAACTACTAAAATATTGCCACTTCTTCCCTGCTAGGGTTTCCCTGATATTATTTAGGACAAACACATGTCTGTCAGATAAGGCTGCAAAGTTCCTCCTGAGATGCCCTCCTAGCTTCTCTGTATAACCCCTCCACTATCCTCAGGAAGTGGATCAATAATTTAGGTGGAATTGTAACATCACCCCCACCAGCTCGCCCAGCTACAGGCAAACATGGCTCTTGGAAGGGAAATGTATTTGCATCTCCATCTATGGCCCATAATTTGCTGAATATGAGCACAGTTTTTCATAATGACTAAAGTGAAAAGCACAGAGAAACGTCTAAGCACCAGCAGCCTAAAGTGCCTATTAGCTCCTCCATATCCAGATTTCCGTGGGTCAGCACATGGGCATGTGGATGCAATACAGTCCAGAGAACTTTGGTCCCCTGTCCAAAATCATGGATACTGAAGAGATAGGGAAGGAGGGGAAATGGGGAGGGTTGTGGGTTTTTCTTTTTTTTTTTGTTTTCTTTTTTTCATTCAAGTATTGAAAAAGAAGCTGCATTGCTCTAAATAAACCATTCTGGGCATAGCTGGGATTTGTGTTTGTTTGGTGCAAGACTCAACAGGAAATATGGCACCTCTCCCACTGTACCATCCACCAGACTGCATGGCAGGAAACGTGAGTCCTTCCCTTGTCGACATCTCCCCCGCACACCTTCCCAGCCAGACATGGATCCCACGTCTTGGATACAACGGCTCAGAAGAGAAGCTCCTGCTCCGCCAGCCTGATCACCCCTTCCCTGGCTGTGCCATCCCATCAGAGGGCTCTGGAGGCAGAGGAAGAGTTTGTGTGCTCGGCTGTGTGCCTCAGTAAAGTGCACATCTAGATGAGATGGTGGACGGTGCCGCCGAACAGCTGTGGGGTTGAAGGCTACAGTGTCTTCAGCTGGCGTCGGTTCCACATGCCCCGCTTTGAGTGAAACCAGTGGAAAAAGTTTCTCAGGGAGAGACGCTCCACTTCCAGCCCAGCCTGTAAGATCCTGGCAGAAAGAAGGGTAGACTCAGAGAAAACTTGATCGCAAAGATACTGGGGGGGGGCTCAGCCCCAGGAAAACTCTTTTAAGTTGTGCTGTTGACAAGAGACTACAACTCAATTGGATAGTCCAGAATAGCTCAGGGGTATCTCGTGTTTATGCACCCTTGAGGGCGGGACTGGTCAGGAGTGCCTGCACATACCAGGCTAGGAGAAAAAGACAGCTGGCAGCACAGGACTGCTCAGGATGCTAGTCTTTTCTGTAGTCAGCCGTCAGAAAAGACAGGACAGGGCCCAAAGCGTAGAACTACAAACCCAGAGGCCTAGGATTTGTCCAGCAGAGATCCCTCACTACAAACTTCTCGGAAACTGTAACTGTACCTTGTGACCTTTAAATGTTTCTCCAACAGTTGGTCTTCTGGACAATTGCTAAATGTTATATGGGAAGTCTGAGCGACCCAGACTGTGTGCTGCACTCTGGAAGAGGACAAAGCCTTCACAATCACCAGTGCCTGATCTGCACGTGGCCAACCAGCAGTGTGGCACTAAGGCACCAGAAAATGGCTCTTCTCCTACTAGTGGCTGTAGGAGAGTGTTTTGTGTCTCCTAACCTACTAGGTTTGAGGTCAGGACAGGCTCAAAGACTCTCCCTCACTGATCAAGCTTATGGCAGCAGTCATCTCAATCTCCTTATATCCCTACTCCTGTGGTCACTGGTCTTCCAAGATCCAATTGGTCTCCCTTCCTGAGCACATGAACAATGACAGTGGATGCCTACCTGTCCAGGAGTTCCCAGTCCTCTCCTCCCCAGCGGTCCCGAAACTCTTTTGTGTTCATGCCTCCAATCTTGTCCAGGTCAGACTTGTATATGCCCAGGAGACCAAACCCATTCACCTCCCAGTAGCCTGAGGAGAGCACAAAAGAGGCACAGGTATGTTGGTGCTTGGAACCATTGATGACTCCAGCAGAGATTCTGGAGAGAGACTCAAACTACTTTCAGCATGATGTTGACACCAGAGAGTGAACTCAGCAGCAAGGCAGAGCCAACCATTCCAACCAGCTTTGGAAAGTGAGAAAGGCTTGAGGATAGACAGCATGGGCTGTCCTATCAACTTGTTAGCAGAGCCTTCAACGCCTCCTGGACTGTCTCAGCTTCACAGAGTTGCCCCGTGCCTGAATGGCTCCGGGTGGCCACCTCTGTCTAAAGAAAATCCCATGCTAAGATGATCTATGCCACTTTCCCCCTCTGACTTGGGTTCGTTTCCCTCACCCCTGCTCTACCAGCTCTTCTCAGGACAGGCTGTGCCCTCTAAGAAAAGAGAGAAATGGACAGAAGGGAGTAAAGGAAGGGTTTTCCAAGGTCCTTAAATCCACAAAGAGCCCTAGGAGATGACCAGGAGAAACATCATACAAAGGGCTCTGCTAACTTTTTGATCTCAAATTCCAGGTACCTGATGCTGTTAAACCACATCTAACACACCCTCACTTTGTGGACCTGGAAGTACCTCAAGCTTCAGACCTCAACACCACCAGAGGAACAAATCTAGAGGTGGCAGACATCCTGCTTCTTTTCCCATTCCCCAAGGTCTGAGCCAAAGAGGCTCCACTCCCTCTTACCTTCAGGCCACTGTGGGGACATCCCGCAGTGCAGCCTCATGACCATGGGTGCGAAGGCCATCTTGCCTTCCACACAGTGCTTCCTGATTGAATCAATGACTCCAGCTGGGAAGTGGATGTGGAGGTCACACAGGAAGATGATGCTGTGTGGGTCCTGGAATGAACCACACCGGTTGGGAAAAAAATAGATTGACTTTCAGTAAGTCTTTCTTGAGGAGCAGGAAGACAGAGATATGGGAGTCAATTAAAAAGCCATTTGTTGCTGCATCAGAAACTGAGGTCCTAGAGGCTGGTAAAGCAGCCAGTGAGTGGCTGTTGAACGATGAATGTGAAATACCACAACTATGACCTGGCAGAGCCAGTATCACAAAGCTGCTACTGCTGACTTCCCTCCTGTCTGACAGTCCCAGCAGGGGGACTGAGAACCAAACAGAACACAGGCTCCTCAGAATACAGGGTGAGACCCTTACTCTGGAAGGACAGGAAACATATCCACATTTGATCTAGTCTGCCAAGCTATTCCCTTCCCTAAAAACAGCGCGTGCAGTACCAAAAGTAATGATAGCACCAGTATCCACCCCAAGGGTGCCCAGACTTACCGTCACAAGGTCTATTCCCGCCTGCAGCCCAGCAGAACGCTCGAAATTCCCTGTCAGCTTCAGGTACTGGTAGCTGGGGGACAGATGGGAAAGTCAAGTTCAGTTCCCATGTGCCGGTGGCACAGGAAGCACCACGGGCATCAGGCTGTGGAGCTGCCCTCACCCCGTGCACCCTCTCAAGGACAAGGAAAGCCTTTGCTGGGTGAGTGCACAAGTTAAACACTGTTCCAGTTCCCATCATGCCCTCAGAGTCTTCCTCCTTGTGCAACAAGGGGAGGGCAATGCCTAGCAAAAGTCTTTTCAGCTATAGTCCAGTCTATTCTAGGACTAGACCTGTTACTGGTATGTAAAGGAAATGACCAGCCAAGGCTGGTTCAGATCAGAGTAAGGTAAGCCAGACAGTTATTCGAGCAAGCGGAGTCCCCAGAGGCCTCCAGGCTCCCTGTCCTATTTCTCACAGCTTTCTTGTCTGTCCTCCCTCTGCCCCATCACTGTGAGACTTGCTTTGTCTTCTCTCTTGCAAACTTGAAAATAGACAAATTCAACAAATTTGGCTGGAATACTACACTAGCTATTGCCTTACACTTTTATAACACTGTTCCACACAGTACATGGTGTGTATGCACATCATGATAACAACATATTCATGTATATGTGCAAGGTCTGGGTGGGTGTTATCTTCAGTTTTCCAGCTGCAGCAGTCTGTGGCTGGTCAACACACAGAGACTGGCAGAGGTGCTGTGTTTGCAGCATACATGTGTGAGTGGTTTTTTTGTGATCAAGCAGTACTCTCACCTGTGCAAGGTAGACCTTTTCAGAGCCTTCTCTACATCCATGTCATCGCTGCTGTAGTCTGTGATGATGATGTTGAAGTTGGGATCCTTAGTGACTTGGAACAGCTCTTCCATGTCAGAGATGAACTGCAGCACCCAACGTGCCTGGTTTTTCACTGGTTGTATTGCAACAGGGAGATAATCTAAGCAAACTGATTTCAGTGATGGTGTTGTTTCTCAACAGGCAAGGCTTCTTGCCTCCTGTCAAACCCCAATAACCTTGCAGGGATGCTGAAACAGGCCCAGGCTGAAAACCTGGTCCAAAGAATCAAGGAATCAGTGCGGGTTCTTTCCCACCATCTGACAGGAGTTTTCTTTGAGCTTACAAGCCATGGAAGTTTGGGCCCTATAATATTTCTGAGGGGGTTTTACTTGGAGAGAACCATAAATTGGAAGTGACCCAAATGAGATGGTAGAGACTGGCCCAGGTTCACTGTTCAGGACTGCCCTCATGGGAACCGCCCACTGTGCCATCCCTTGGTGTCCTGGGGAGGCAGATCCTCCTTACCTGGCACCACGAAGTGAACCATGGCACGGTGGTTCCAGGAAAAGCCCTGAGGCCAGCACAGCTCTGGCTCGTTCGCCACAGCCATCAGGTGCCGCCGGCGACCCCACACCATGCTCCTCATCTTCCTCTCCTCCTCCTCATTGCCACCAACGCCCTGCCAGCCCTGGGCAAAGACGTACTCGGAGAAGCGGACGAGCCGCCCTCCCTGCTCCAGCAGCTCCAGCTCCAGCAGGTAGCGGCTGCCCCGCATGCGGTCCTGGCGTTTCTCCACGTTCACGATACGCTGCAGCTGGAACCGCCTGCAGGAGATAGAGTTGGCATGGGCATGTCCCCTCTACACCAGCCCTGCTCCCACCTCCAGCCTGTTCATCTCTGCTAGGCTCCTTCCTCCTGGCTAGCACAAACCTTTCTGTCCCCTGCTTCCCCTTGCTTCGCTGCACTGCTTCCAAAGTCCCATGGGAAGGTTTAGCACCTGTTTCCTAAATCCACAAGCGTGTGGGATTAGACCTGGGATTCCGGCCAAGAGAAAAATATTTGGCAGGGGAAATGAAATAAAGGTGACACAGAAAATAACAAATGTGTCTGAATGATTGTAGGGCTGGTAGTAGTGAGTGTACTCAACACCACCTACAACGATCTTGGCACAAGGAGTATGTTTGGGCTAGTGAAACTGGCTCATGACAGCTTATCAGCCAAGAACATGGAGGAGGACTGAGCAATCACACAGCAAAAACTGGAGTGAGCTTTAGGTTTGGAATGGCCAAAACTGGATGAAATGCCAGATCATGCCCTTTCAGATCATAACAAGAGTTTCTGCTGTAAAGTTGATGCTTGCCAGAGAAAAGCCTGTGTGTAGTGATCAGTTACACTTGACTGTGTAACAGTGTGATGTGACCCTGAAAAAACAAATGTGATCTTAAGATGTAGCATCAGACAGCAGGGATTGGAAATTCATAACACCTATTCTATAAAATATCTAGGATACTGGTTACTTATGTCAAGGAAGATTAACTCAAAATGAAACCTGCACAGAAAAGGACTGGTTAAAAAATTATGGAAATAGACACCAACCCGACAGAAGAGTCCGGAGTTGGATTGTTTAGCTTATGGAGGCTCAGAGGAATTATGTCTGTTTGCCAGAAAGGCAATCAGGATGGTAAATCTTGGGAAGAACCATATCAAGACCATGTAAAAAAAGAGTACCAGCAAAAGCTGGCACCAGTTATCAGCCAAAAGAGGTATATTTAAAGCCCAGTGTTTTACATAGATTCCTTGCCTGAAATCTTATTTCCCACATGTAGTTTATCCTCTGATTCTCACTAGTTACTCACATGACAGGCATTCTCTGTGCAGCAGGGTACACCAGCTCCGGGACTCCGTCCCTTGGTTCTCTCACTGTGCCTTACCCTTTACTCCTCTGGTTGAGCTTCTTCAGGAAGACACGTGTAACTTCCAGGGCCTCCCTTTCTCTTAGCAGCAAGTTTCCCGATGTGTTGCATTTCAGGTCAATCCAGTCTGTGCGCAGCATATGGAAGTCCAGGTTGCTCGCGCTGAAGGTCTGCTCCCAGTTCACTGCCTGGTCAAACACTGGTACGTAATCAAAATCCTCCTCATCTTCCTCCTCTGGCTCCCCATCCGCCTCTTCCTCTTCGTCTTCTGCTGCCACAGGTGCAGACTTGCCCTTCACAGGAGATGGCACCTGTACCTCTCTTTCGTCCATGTCCCCACCATTGGCTGCCTTGTGCTCAGCAATGTAGGACTCCACTTGGTTCAGCCACTGGGGCAGCCCGGGCTGGCTGGGGCTGGCAGTGCTCACAGAGCGTCTGCTGGCTTTGCCAGAGACTGGGCCTCCTTTTCTGGCTGGCACGGTGCCTGCTGGCTGCAGCCCATCCTTGGCAGTGCTGAGATCTCCTCGAGGTCTCACCCCTTTGGGAATTGTGACCCCTGAGTCCCTTGGGTGGCTAAAAGACTGCTGTCTTTGAGACACAGTCCTAGAAGGAGGGTTTGCCCTTCTGACAGGCACTCTCCCCTGGATGGCCCTGGCATGCTGCAGAGGGCTCCTGGAGTTGTCTTTGACACCAGCTTTTAAACGGGGTCTCTTTGTTACTGGGTTCCCCTCCAGGCCAACCTGGCTGAGGCTTTGGTTAGTAGAGGCCAGCACGGCTGATTTGACACCAGACCTCTTTGTCCTTCTCCTTTGTATCCCCTCTCCTATGTTACTGCCCATTACTGAGAGGAGCCGACGACGCTCCCGGAAGGAATAGTCCTCGTGGATATTGTCCCTGCCCAAAATGCTGCCGGGAGCGTTGCCCAACAGCTCTGCCTTCACTGTGCCAGGGTGTTCGGCGGGACGGGTACTCTCCGTGTCCTGCTCCTCGTACTGCAGGTCATCCAGGTTCCCCTCCTGGGAGCCTGCAGGAGTAATTGAAGTTACATCTCTGGCATCCTGCCACTGCTTTCCCTGTCCTAACCCAGGCACTCATCCTGCTGGGGTAGCTACTTGTTGCCTCACCTCAGTGTTGCCCCTCCTGCTCAGAGGACAGGGATGCTCTCACACATGGGATCTGTGCTCCTGCTGGCACCAACCTTCTCAGCACCTCTTAGCCACCACTGCCAAAGGCTGTGGAGGTGTTTGGCTTTGCCTTTAGCTGTCTTGTCTGGCCTCAGATTTGCAAGGCAGGTGTGAGCACCGGCTGCCATGATACAGAGCTTTGGCTCTGTTGCTCCTGCCCATGTTTTTGCTAGAATTACATCTCAGATAAGCTGTGGGCCTGAGAGGTAGTTGTCATGTTGTCTCCTACAGCCCACTGTTTAGTGACCTCCCAACCTGCCCCTGAAAGAAGTAAAAGCTGCAGCAAAAATCTCCTCCCAGACACAGTAATCTGGTAGGGAAAGGCTGTGACTTCCTTGTTATGGGAAGTCAACAGCTTCTTTCAGCTGCTGCTGGAAGACCACACGAAAAAGTGACAGGTGGAAGGATCTTCTGGTTGTGACACTAGGGCCCCTACCTGGCTGCTCTGTCTTTTCTCCAGAGTCCAGGCTCTTCTCTGGCCGATCCATTTTCATGTACTTGTAGAATCCGAATCTGTAGAGGGAGGAGCAAAACACAAGTTTGATGAAAGTTACTTCGCCCTTTTCAAATAAATAATAGCCATTGCTTCAGAGGTGATGATCCATTACTCTGGTTACATCTACCCAGCACCTCTAGATCCTACTTTCCAAACATCATCACCATCTTTCAAATCTTTGGGCAAGCAGATCTTACTCTGCAGTGCCTAAGACATGCATTTTCCTTCCTTATCATCTCAGTCTCTCAAGAGATTTTCTCATAGGTGCAGGAGGAAAACCCAATATAAGTACCCTGAAACACTTCTTTAGCCTCCCTTAAACTCCTCCTTAAAGCTCACTTAAGATGTACTGCTCACAAATGTAAACTATCATGCTGCAAAAGCATCTCAAGCAGCTGATTGCAGTGATCTCCCTCTCTCTCCTCTTATACCACTACTGCCTATGTGCTGTCCTTATATGCCTGTGCTTCAAGCTTTTGGGAGGGATTTCCAGGGGTGTTTCCCTCCACATGTGCTTGATGCCAAGCAAAATGGGCCCTCCGTTCTCAAATCCAGTCACAATACAAATGAATTACCAAAGCAATAAACCTGGTTGTCACCTTCCAGCCCGTGGTAGCCACCTATCCTTCATTATGAACCACGAGTCTCCTCCCAAACTCATGCCATGATCTGTTGTTCTAGCCCTCAGAATAGTCCTGGAGGGTGAAATAAGATCCTGAACACAGGGAGGCCACCATCAGCTATCTCACTGGTAAAGTGATTTCTTATCCTGTAAAAAAAGTCCTCCTGAATGGACAGGAGTCCTCACGAAAGGTGTCTGTCTGTTATGGGGGGAGCATGTAAGTGGCAGTTCTCTCGTGGGGCCACCACTGAGATCAAGGCCCCAGTGAAGCTGAATGACATGTATTTCTTCCCCCAGAGAGATCCTGATGGTGAGCACAGTTTGGCTTTCACAGTAATAGCTTTTAGGAGGCTCCAGCCACTGTCAGGCAAAGTTTCCTGGGAATACACTCCCTGATGTAGTGAAACAAACATGCTCTGACTCTGTTGCTGGGTTAATAATGCAAGAAAAGCAGAGGCAGTTTCCCCTTGAGACCTAAACATATTTCCACTTAAGTTATCAAAAGAAACTATAAACGCTTTAATGTTTTGCAAGGCTTAGGGAGTCTTTAAAAATTGAGAGTCCTACAGAAGTGAGTATGAAATTCCACACCAATTCCAGCCTTCAAACCATCTCCTCCCTCCCTTCTACTAAACCCACATTTGCAGCATCCTACCTTTCCAAATAATAAGGGTTTTCCTGATAGAAGCATTTGTTTTCTTTTTCCATGTGGCTCAGGCGGCTGTAGTCATTTGGGTAAACAAAGGATAAATGAACCTGAAGAGAGAAAAACAAAGTAAAACATAAATGCCAGACATCAGTCACAAGGTAACCCAGACATAGTTGCAGGGTAACCAGCCCTTTTTAAAGGGAGCAGGAGTTGCTCACTAAATCTTTGCCTCTCCAAGGCATGCAGTAGCAGGCTGTGAGAATGGAAAACAGAAGGAAGCATGCTAGGATATGTGCCTGGGTGTGTCTTTTCCTCCCTTTCTCAGCATCTGTCTGTCCATCTCTGTAACTGTGAGCTTAATTCAAATAACAGAGTGAGAACTAGGCGGGAGAGAGGTGGCCATGCCCCCCTGAAGAGATGTCAGGGGCTTTAGTGGTACAGTTCACCCCACAAAGAATGAAATCCTCAGCCACTGCGAGGCTCTGTGTGAAGGCAAGCTCAGCTCTTTGGTTTGAGGCCTGAGGGGCTCTGTAAGACACACACACTCATACCCTGGTGAGACACATGAGCAGTGCACAGCACTCATCTCCCTTTCCTTGACGTTGCCCTCTGGCACGTACTGGGATGCAGAGACCTGAACACATGATCAGACCAGCCTAGGAGCTTCAGATCGGTGGAGAAGCCCCAGGGTTAATGGGATCTCTCTCTCCTTCCTCCTTGTGTTCCCCTGGGCAAGCACCTGCTTAAGAAATAAAACTTACAAACTGGAGCCCCTGGTAGCGCTGCAGAGGAAATCCATTCACCAGGTAGCTGGGCTTGTAGGGGCAGTCGGGCAAGGCTCGGCGCACACGGGACTTGCTGAGCAGAGGCACTGGCAAGAGGAAACACATGGGTGAGCGCTGCAGGAGGAGCCCGGCTGCAACTGATGCACCAGCTTAGCTACTTCTGGCCCTGGTTTTTATTTATCCGTGTGAAATGGTAACAGACACATAAAGCAAACCTTGCACAACTCATCTCTTTACATCCCTCTAAGGCACTAGCACAAAAATTATTATGCCTGGGGATGTTGTGTGAGTTGGATGTCAAGAAAGAGGAGCTGGGTTTAGTCTGTGCTTTGTCTCCTACAGCGACTGATACTGTAGCAGCCCCTCTCTTCTGCAGCAGGGATAAAAAAAACACGGCCTTGACCACCGTGGTGTAGGAGGATGATGCTTCTCAGCTGTGTCACCACACATGCTGTGACAGGCTGCAGTTACCTCCTCAGCTGCTTTGCAAGTCTTACCTTCGTAAAGAGTGTCCCGGGGGTCAGGCTTCAACATGTCAGCCGGGTGTGCCTTGCTGCCTGCGCTGTCAGCAGGCCGGCTCCTGTGACTGGCCAATGTCTGCGGGATATGCCCGACCTCATCCATCTTTAAAAGCGTCTCGTCTAGAAACCAGAGAGAGAACAGAAGGGGGAGGAAGGGCTAATTTGTCCCTTGTCCCAAAAAGCACCTCTCTCCAACGTCAGCCTTTTCCAAATGGCTTTGCATTCATGGCACTAATGCTGTCTCCGGCACAGCAATGCCTAAATGGTGCTGATCGGGAGCATCACTGCAAAGACACTGCAGGAAGGAAAGGCTCTGACCCAGAAAGCTGGAAATACAGAAGCTGTGGGGTAGGAACATGGCTATCACTGAAAGCAAACACACACAGGGATAAGTTATGGAGGAAAATGGCCTCCTGTCTTGGATGGACCAGCAGTGGTGTGGTGAAGAAGCCCCATGCTGGCAGGAATTACTGGATGCCTCTGTATCATTAGTATTGCATTTCTTTTAAAAGGAGATAAAAAAGATGAATGGGAGGAAAAATCTGAAAAAACCTTTTCCACCTGTGCTGGAAAAGGATCAGGACCCCGGGGCAAGGCCTTCAGTGGCTGAGGAGGATGTTACTCCAGAAAGGGAATAAAGACCCACGGTAAACCAGGAGCAATGGGAAGCTCAAACTCAAGACTGAGTATTGGTTACATTTTTTCTTGGTGCTGCTGCCATGGGACTTCATATCTCCATAGATCTTACTCTAAAATGAGGGGAATTGAACAAATATCCATGAGGGGAAAAGCAACATGCTGTCAAGGGCACTGGTGTGCAGCTTTTGGGTACTGAACAACACATGAACCCAGAAGGAATGGGATGACATGATACAGCCAAAGGCTAATATGGAAGAGAGAAAAACTATATGGGCAGAAGGTGACAGATAAAGGTGAGACTGCAGCACTGTACCTAACTACAGAGGGATCTTCTGAGATGTCAGTCTTCTATTCTACACGGAATTAATAATAAGAAAAGAGAAGAAGGAAAAAGGATGAAGATGGAAGACCTAATGGAAAGCCTAGTCCTGGCCAAATGGCAGGTTTCAGAAAATACAGCAGCAGGTTGTAATCCAAGACATAGCAAACAGATGTCTCGACTACATCAGGGAGTCTTCCATGCACAGAAGTGCTGGCATGGAAAGAACCCAGAAATGCTGGAAGGCAACAGTAGTAGATATGGAAAGGGGGAATGCTGGCAGAGGAAAGTGATGCTGACAAAGCTAGGTAAGGATAAACAGGACTAAGGAGTTCCTTAACTGATAAAGGCATCACTTGATGTGCTAAGAAGGGTTTACAAAACAGGAGGGACTGGACTGATGTGTTTGCTGCAATCCAGCAATAACTTGAAGAGGCTTGAGGCTAGTACAGAAGAAAGCAGCATCTCCCAGTATCACTAGTGTATCCTGCCGTGTTCAGGACCCAGTGTGAAATCCCCTGGAAGTGCTACAGTGGCCCCCTCCCTGGTCGTGTCCAGCTGACAGCACTTCCCCACACCTCCCATGCTGTGGGCCTCACATTCCCCCTGGCTCTCAGCAAGCAAACTCCATCCTGTGTTACTCTCACATCTGGAACACTTCTCACCCTTGCAGACTCTTCTCGCTACCTCTAGACTTCCCTGGAATAATGTTCCAATCTTACTTCCAATTCTATTATATATGAGTCATACCCTTGTCCAGAAGTCTTTCTCCTGACCTGTCTCCACCTTTTTCTCCTAATGATCTGTATGCCTGGTATTTGCCTGGCTAGACTATGATTCATGGTGAAACACCACTGATAAATTTTGGAAGAATGGGGAGGTGCTTGGGAAAACCTGTGATGAAGATACTTACTAGCAAAAAGGGAGAGGTATTGGGAGTCAATCACTCTGAACTTTGCCTCTGGGTCATTCAGTCTCCACTGGAACAGAGAAACACATTAAAATGAAGTGCTTATGGAGTTAACCAAGCCTGAAAAAAAGGAACAGGCACAAGATGTTTTTTTCACCAGATGGGTTCGCAGCTTTCCTCTTTCTCCCTGATATGACTGAATTTACCTAACAGCAAAAGACTGGGAATAAGATGAGATCCCCCAGGACAAATCCAAAATGGGAAAGGACAAAAAGCTGCAATGGAGACCAGAGAGGGCAGAACTATCCCAAGCAAGCAGAGGAAAGGGTCCTGACATGTGGACAGGACTATCCCTCACAGAAGTAGGTAAGGGTTCTGGAAGGGATTAGATACATCTCATGCAAGAGGAGCTGAGGCCTGGGAAAGGAGGGGAATAGTTACAAACATCATTCCCAAGCTCTGTGGGGACATATATACAGTATCATCATTTCCACAGACTCACTGCTACTTCCACGTGGTCTGTTCCTCTGTCATCCTGCTTGTGCAGCACCTCAAAATAGTACCTGCCTGCAGCTGACAACCTGTGAAGAACAACGTGTCTGTCACCAGGGGCGTTAAGGAATATTTCTTAGCTTGTCAGCAGACAATGAGTGGGGAGCAACCACACCCATGAAACAACCTAATTCTCAGGGTGAACGGGGTTAGGGCTGCCAAGAAAATCCAGATGCTGACAGTGAGATAGGTAGCTTTCCCTGTGCATCTGGACCACTACAGACCCTTCTCAGTTAATGCTGAATAACTCCCTTTCAGTCTTGCCTGCTGGGTTTTGGCCTCTGGGAAACCCAGCCAATTCCAAGGCAGGAAGCTTGGGATATAGTTGATATAGAGGAGTCTGGATCTGCTGGTGGCTGCTTCCTCTGAGGAAGAAAAATTAAGTTTTGCATTCCTGCAGTAAATCAGCAAAGCTTTGGCAATACCTCAGAGTAATCTCTTTCTCTATATTGCTAAATTCTCCAGGACAAGCCTGGGTTTTCCTTTTCCTCATCCTTGAGATTTCCTGGCCATGTGCAAAGGTGGCTGGGAGCAAGGGACTTTGCTCACTCACCTCACCATCTTTGACTGCTGGCTGTGAAATTTCCCAAACTCTCCCGGTGCAGTCCACTCCTTCCCTGTCTGTGAAGAGATGGAAGATGCTCTAGTTAACATGAGTTTCTTCTCTTCTTATTGCACTGAGAATGACGAAGAGGGAAAATTGAGCTCTCTCTTCCCTCCAGTACCTCCTGGTAAGTTACCTGTGAGATCCATCTATGGACAGACTTATGTCACTTAATCATGAGCAGGGGGCTGCCAATATGTAACTGGCTTAAGGTATGACATGTCATACCCATCTGGCATCTGTGGTGGCGTTGTCTGTAGTTGGGCAGGAAAAGAAACTTGAGTAGTCCAAGGAAGTATGTAAGTCAAGTCAGGAAGGTCTCCATTCCCACAGACACACTAAAGCCTGGATAGAAGAAGCCTTGCAGCATGCACAGTACCTTGCCTACACTGGCCAGCAGCTGGAGACCAGAGGTCTTTTCATCTGGGCTCAGCCAGAACTCGGCATTGTCATCCGCAGCAATGGCAAACTGAAACTCCCCTGTTGAGAGATGGAGGGAGTGAGTAGGGCTCTGGGGTAAGGGCTCACGCACAGAACAGATCCTGCTCCTCTAAAATGCTGTCTTTGCCCTTTTTCCTGGTGAGACCATAGCTTCCCTATTGATAATACCACCCTCACCCCTTTGAGCATCTCTGAATTTTCTAACTGAAAACAAACTCTACAGATGCATCTTGTTCACTGTCCTTCCTGCATCGGCTTCATCTGATGTCTAACCTGGAAAGCTAAGAAGTCTATGCAAAGTCTTACTGAATTCCTATTTTGGTTCCAGAGCAATTTTTTTGTGTGAGATGCTGTGTTTGGATGGAGGAAAGTGCACGTGGAGCCACAAAGGGAGTCAGGGGTGCTTGAGTCTCACTGTTCTGGGGATGGCAGCTGAGGGCCAGGGGACCACGAGAGGCGGGTGAGCTTTGGGCAGACACATGCAGCTGGCTGATACAGATGTCAGCTGCTGTCAGATGCTATTCATGCACTCGGGTAGCAGCAGGGACATCAATGATGTCATGTACAATCCCGGGCATGCGAGGGAGGGAGGGAAAGCTCAGGGATTGTTCGTGCCCACACACACGCCATGGGGCTGTGCATTCACGACAGCATTGTTATTTATCTAGCACTTCCCATCTGTTTTCTCCTGTGCTTTTCCTTTCCACCCTACAAGGGAGGCAGATGTGTTCCCACCCATGCCAAGGCCACGGCTAGTCAGGCACGTCACCCACATGAGGGACCAGGCGTTGGGCTTGCCAGGGTGAGGCACGAGCGGTTCAGCACCGGGAGGGGACTGAGAGAGGGGAGGGACAGGTGACAAGAGACGTGAGCAGTGGCACAGCAGCCTCAGAACCCTCACCATTGGTGAAAGGATGCAGGTAGCCAAATATCCGGAGGCCATAGTTGGTCCATTTTGGGGACACAGCCAACTTCTTCAGTGTAGTTCGTGTCTGAAGTGGAAGAAGAAAAAAAATTACCAAAATAATTTTAGATGTGACAGGAAGAAGGGGAGATATAAAAGTCCTGAGACAGGTGGGTAGAGGGAAGTATGAGGTTTGCTCTGAGAGGAGGATGGGCTACAGTGTGTGATGGAGGCAAAGAGAAAGAGCAGGCCAGATGAGAACTGAACTGGAGCAGGTGCTGCTGTGGATGGGAGAGCTGCATGGGAATGCCATTGAGATGGTGGGGACGGGATGTGGCATTTGCTAGCTACTTGGAAGGAGAGCACCAAATACAGGGCTCCTTCACCGTGTGTCCAAGGCCTGGCAGGCCAGCATAAGAAAAATGAGCCTCCCCTGTGCAGCAGAAGAGCCGCCACCCTTGACACCTTGTGAAAATCTCCTGCTCCCTCAGCAGGAGGACAAAGGAAGTGGTTGAGAGGGAGGTGACGGATGCTTATGAGCAGCAGGACAGACAGATGATGGATAGAGATAGGGACAGGATGTGAAGGAAGCAGGGGTGACCCAGCTGGGAAGCAGAGCTGGGAAGTGTGGGGCAGCAAGTGTCATGGTCTTACTTACGTGAGGGAAGAGGGGGAAGTGCAGGTTTTTCCTGAGCTGCTCAATGGAGCCGCCACACCAGTCCTCGAACACGTGCAGATTAGCCTGGCCCTGGAACTAGGAGGCAGAAGCGGGGCACCATGAATTGTTGCATACCTCCACTGTGTGCCTCCCCTGTCTTGACAGCCTTGGCCATGGCCCCAGCACTGGAGCACTTGAGAGAGCGAAGGAAGATGCCACTGCTGCGATGGGCTGGTCTGAAGGAGACACAGGTCCAGCCCCCTGTTTCTCATCTGCTGAGGGTTTGGGGTTGGAATACATGACTGAATAGCACCAGAAAACTGTGCTAATGCTTGGGACATCTCACTACATGGCTAGGGTTCACTCCATTAAGGAGGTGTTTAACCAGAGGTCAGTGCTCTGAGACAATACTGTGGAACACACTGCAGGGTGGCAATAGCCCCCCATGATGCAGCAGAGAAAGTGTAGGGTCCTACATTCTCCAAGAATGTGTTTTGGACTCTCTCACCATCCCAGGGCTATCTTCCTGACCTGAGGAAGAGGGACACACTGCAGGGGTGGGAGGGAGATGCCAGATCACCTTCTCAAAGCATGTCTTGAGATGTAAAGCTCATGGAGGACAGTGGGGACAGCAAGGCAGAGGCTCGGCAGGTGGGGGTGCAGATGCCTGTCCCCACTACGCAGCCACTCTGGCCAGGAAACGCTGTCAGTGTCCAACGGAGACCTGGAGCACAGCTTTGCTGGGAAAAGCTTGCTGGCCACTGTGGGACTGCAGCAATACATTCCTCAATGGACAAACTTCTTTTTGTCAGAGCCATTCGGAAGGGAATCACTGTCTGCCCCCCAGCAAAGTCCAAGCTCTCTGCCTTCAACCAGTGGAGCTGGATGCTGAAACCCTCCTCACAGGACTGGCACCCAACAGTGGAGAATAAATAGGCTGGAGACGGTAGAAGCTACCTTAGATGGCGAAATGCTGAAGAAAGGAATAGGTTGCCTTGGGACTGGGGAGGTTTTGCAGTGGATGTCTTGCCTATATAAGGGCTATGTGAGCAGGGCTGGGAGAATGGCCTGAACAGCACCCAAATGTCTACAGATGGCAGCAAATTCTTAGTTTTCACTGGGGAGTCTCCAGCAGGGCTGCAGCAGCACAGTGGAGGAGGGTCCAACCCCTCCGTGCACTCCTGGCAGAGGAACTGCTTCCTGGATTTATTTTTCCCAGGATGGTGCGTTGGAGGTGCATTTTGAAATACACTGAAGGAAGGCTGCGGAGCAAACTTGGCTCAGCACCAGTAATGCTCCCTGTGAGCTGTGGACTTTAGTCCTGCATGTGAAAGCCATTTCTGTGTGCCAGGCAAAACACATCACAACCACTGCTGTTCTGGAGGGGTCTCTCATCAGCCCTCTCTCACTGGTATCTGCACTGCCAGGGCTTGACAAATGTCTGCAAGCCCATGTCTACCCCCACTACTACCTCCTCCTCTTCTGACATCCCTTAGACTGGATTCTGCCAGACGAGAAGAAAAGCAGCAAGACAAAGTGGACGTAATTCCCCAGAGTGATGCATAAAATCGTAGCTTAGATGCACAGAGGGCTCAGGGTGATGGATGTAGCCAAGAGAAACCCAGGACTCTGCAGGAACTTGCAATACTAATAAATCACTGCAAGTGTGACAAACATTGAATTGGAATGTAACTGCTGTGCAGTCCCATGCCCCTTGGCCAAATCCAGGTTCACACCCAAGAGTCTTACACTACTTTTCTCAGCCAAATCAAATAATGACAATTGCTGTTTCTTATGGAACACGCACTCCCACAGCGAGTCACTGCCAGAAACAGTCCTATGGCAGTCTGCTGCTACCTACAAGTGATGCTGGTTTTTCTTCTTAGAGAGTTGCTTGCACACTGCAGATAGCAGGCTCAGAGCCCTATGAAATGTAGCACAACACTCCCACACCGTGGAGAGGCTGGCACTGCAGTCTGCTCCTGCCAAAGACAGACCCAGGGGATACTCCCAAAGCTCAAGACTGCAATGGAGCTGGGCTGGCTTTGGCATGGGGTAGCCCAAATGCAAACCCATATATTTATTAGAGAAATCCCAAAAGACTGGCTAGACTTGCTCAAATGTTTACAGAAGAAACTTGGACCACTCCCACTGCAATACAAGATTTTACTGCAGAGTTTGGTAGGATTAGGGAGAGGGCAGCCTACTAAAAAATAAGGCAGACACCACTATACTAGGTGCACCATCAATGGTGAAGGAGGTGTTCCCTGGGATTTGTAGCCTGACACTCCTGTCTCCAAAGTCTTTATGAAGTATCCTGAGAGGAGATTCTGGCAGGAGTAAACGAGATCACTTTGCCTTCCTGTGCTCAGACTTACTAGAAATAATTAACTGGTAAATAATAAGTACTTCTTGCATGCAGTTTCAGAGTCTTTTCTAAATCAACAGATTTTTCTCCTGAGTTTCAGTAGCCTAACTTACTTTCTGCTGCCTCCAAAAGGGAAAAGAACATTATTGACAGATAAGTGCTGGCTGCCCAAAGCGCTGCTCTGGGACTGAAAACTGAGCTAGGCTTTAATTTTAGGGCCCCAGAAGTCATCAGTCTAGCAGCTGTTTTGAAATCCTATCACCTCTGTCCCTCCAACTCAATCCATGGCTGTCCATTGCAGGCAGCTGAGAAATTCCTCTGTTTGCTATATGTGTCTCCTCTGGAATATGCAGTAACAGTCTCCTGCTTGGGGCTTTTGCAGATTGTAGTTACAGATAAGCATCACCATCATTCCCAATTCACGCACACAGAAATGCCAGTGGATTTTCTAAAACATGGCTACTAAGTCTGACTTCCCAGCTTAGAACTACCTGGTCCTTTTTTTCAAAGGAATGGAAATTTAGGACCTGGCAAGCAATAAGATAAGTGCCCCTTAAAAACACCTGCTTTGCAAATTCTGGATAGACTGATTTGGCCAGAAGCAGGAATAGAAGCCAAGAGTATGTGTTTTCAATGGGAGTGTTTTTACGTGACCTGTGCCTTCCCATTTGGAGGGTACCCCCTGCTCCTCAGCTTCCTCCCTGTCCCAACCCCACCTTATGTTGCTTATGTCCACCCTGGCTGAAATAGCAGCACTGCAAGAACCCAGCTCAGATCCAGAACTGGCACAGGTCGTGCACCAAGGGCACCGTCAGCACAGGGTGAGTGTGCCCAGGAGCTCATGCACAAGAGCTGTTCTGCCCAAGGAGGTCTGTGCAGGTCGACAACCTCCGGAGCACAACACCATGGGTACACAGTGACCCAAAGGAAGGGAGAGCTGGACCCTAACAAGTGCAGGGAGGGGAGAGCTGGGACAGGCCCTTGCTTCACTGCTGATGCAGTGGCCTCCATGGCTTCGGGAACGTGGCTGGTCTCCGAGCACCAGTGCTGACCCTTCCTGCTGAGCACGCTGAAATAATGCCTGCCTGCAGCCCTGGCTTGGTATTAAGAGATTTTAGTATTTCTGCTTCCTTCTAGTGAGAAATTTTAGATTATCAGCCCCTGCTAGAAAAACAGACCATAGAGGAGGATCAAGCACACAGAGAACCCAGACCTCTCTTTCTAGCCCAAATCCTATCATATCAAAACTGCCTGGGGGGGCAGCCTCACGACCACACGACCAAGGGCTCCTGGTGAGCAAGGAGCCCGAGGAAGAAAGGTCAGGGCAAGCAGCAAAGCTGGGAGGATTGCAGCAGCAGAGACATGACCTGTTGCCTTGTAACTGGAGCTGGATGGAGAAGAGAAGTCTTTCCTAATTTAATTCTGGGTGGCTCTGGCATCACAGAGGCAAATCAGCTGCGTGGCTGCACGCAGCCCAGGGAATGCACAGCACCGGGGATGATAAACAGGGCACAGAGAGGGCCTGAGCCCGGGAAGAAAGGCGACATTGTGCTGCCAACTAGAAACCCCTGAGTTTATAAGACTCTTCTGTCTCCGCAGAGTGGCTGTGGCCCCTCCTCCTGCCTGGCCCAGCTCCCCTGACTGGGTGACATTCAGCCTCCAGCAGCTGGGCTTGGCTGCACGCTCCGCTGTGCTGGGCACTTGTGCGAATCCATCAAGACAAGTTAGTTACACAGGCCCCCTCCCTGTCTGGATGGGCAGGAGTGGGCAAGGAAGGGACATCAGCAGGGACAGAGCAAGCAGCAATAGCTCTGTCTTTCAGTCTTCTAATGAAAGGATGCTTCCTCTTAGGGCAGGTTCGGTAGCAGGACAATACCCCAGCACAGTGCTTTGGTTTTGTACAGCACCTATGCACCTATACAAGTGCTGCCTGCAAGGGGCTGTGCTCCTGGACACCCCTCAGAGAGAGAACAAAGTCCTGAGGCTGTGCAGACATGACAGAGGGGAGGACATTTTAAATGCACCCCAGTGCTTTCTCCTCTCAGAGCTGTACAGAAGCTTTTGCAGAGGTAAATGAGAATGATGAGGCTAACCAGGCTTTTCTGAAAATCCTCCCCCACACCTACAGCAGTGTCAAATGGTGACACTCATGGTCCCAACAGTGCAGTTTTGCCCTGACAATAGCCAGGCACCTTTCTGAATTAATTAAACAAGACATCCGACATCTCTCCACCCTGAGGAGGCAGTGGGAGATGCTGGAAGCTGGAAGACTTTGCTGTGGTGCCTGGAACCGACAGTAAGGGTAGGGACCATCATGTGCGCAGGCACCTTGAGGAGCCCAGGTGTGAGGCTGAACCCTGCCTTCCCCCAGACACGGGGTAAAAATTCATTAGGGGTTTCCTACGCGCACACTTTCCCGCCACGTTATCCAAGGCTGAAGACTTAAACTGCTTGTTTCATATCCTGAAGCTGAGAGGGGGGAAATTGAAACCTGTCTTTTTTTGGACATGCTGGCTGCCAGCTCACCCTGCAACCCTGTTAATTATTTATGTTTGTCAGGAATATATCTCTCTATTCAAATAAAGCCCAGTTCCCTGACCTGTGTCAGGCAACCTGGTGCCCCTCACCCCAGGTATCAGGCTGCAATTAAGTTATTACAGATGCCACGGGGAGGGCACAATGGTATTACAGACCCTGGGTAATTAATTTGGGCAGACTCACAGAAAAACTTAATCCCCAGGTCAGGAGAAATTTCAGCCAGTGGTTAAGAGGACAGCAAGCAGCTCTATACAGAGCTGTGTCCATGGATCCCTCTCCATCACCTGCAGCTGGTACTGGTGAACTGCTGGCCTCTGCAGTCAGGGTGCCTCTGCTGACCCTCTGGGTACAGACACTTCCTGCAGCAAGGGCAGGAAACGTTGCCTTATAGAGTCAAAGAGAAAACTGTCCAGGCCACAGCATGTACCTCACCAACTGCATCTCTAACCCAGTGAAGGCTCATTGCACACCACAGCCACCTGTTCTCAAGACTTCTAAGAAATCCCTAGGAGGGGATGAGAGACACAGGGCAAAGCCTCAGAGAAGCTGGGGGATGCCATGCAGAGCCTGTATGGCCTGTTGCCATGGGAGAGGGGAGCAGTACAGGCTCCTGTCACCCCTGTGCACGGCCGCAGTGCTGGCCTTCGTGTCCCGCTGGCTCTCAGCCAGCAGTTGCTCACCTGCGAGGCAGCCCTGCCTGCACACTGCCCACACACTGCCTGCACGGCCCTGCAGCCAGAGGAAGCCCCCAGGCTCCAGTTGGAACCGGCACACCAGAGCCAAAGCAGCAGAATAGATCAGTAGTCTGGTCTGGTTCTGGGCACTGGAAGGTGACTGGTGCTGGCTACTTCCAGGAAAGCTTTAGCTCACGCTGCAGGGACATGAACTGCTCATTGCAATGCTGGAGGGACACACTTTTCCTCCATCACCAGTGACAATCTCATCCTGAGCACAGGGCCAGCAGCCGGCTCGCTCCACAGGGGAGCTGCAGAGGCCCTTTAATTTGTGCAGGTCTCTAATCACCTTGAGGAATTTAGTGAGCCGGTTCCATTAGCTAAATGCCCCCAGGCTGGTGGGCCTCTCATTAGAAGCAGATTGCATTGCTCCCTTATCTGAAGAGGAATGATGAGATAAGGGAGCAGGGGAGGAAAGAATAAACGAGGCATGAAGGAAACAAAGGGGGTGTTTACCTCAGTCTGTAAGGGTCACCAGAGAAGGTCTCTGTTCATTGAAGTGTCACTGAAGTGGAGAAATCTCTATGTATGACACACAGGGGCTGGATTGCAAATGCCAGAGCAAGAGCGTGACACTTCTGCGTGCCACAATCATGTATTCTCTTGTCGAACGCTTGGCCCTACGCACCCCAGACCTGAATAAACTTCACTTTTCTGGAAGGCAGTGGGCTGCCTGCTCTCAGGGAATTTTAGGTGGGTGCTTGGTGCCTTGATGACTAGTGCAAAAACCAAATTATCTGGAATCTGGACACACCTGTCTTTCCAGATGATTACTCAGGTCTGTAAGTGTCATTAAGCAGGGAGGGGGTGATAGGGGACAGAGCTCCCTTAAAGTGAATTAATTTCCAGGCAGATGTCCCTGCCCTACATTCTTGGTGTACCAGTCTCTAGCTACACCTCCCTCATGCAAAACAATGGAGAAAAGCACCCACCTCTGGCAACCATGGGACAGGGTCGTCCACAGCCGCATAATTCGATTTATTCCTCCCAGCTCTTTGCAGCTCTTGCTTCTGAAATACAAGTAGAGGAAACTCAAAGTAACCCAATAAATGACACAGCACTGACATCTAAACAAGAAGGCTCAAACCTGGTTACAAGAACATATGAGAAAATAAAACAAGTTCTCAAGCTCCCTTTCCAAAGGACAGGCCAGTTATCGTGGCCATGGTGGGGTGAAAATGCTTGTTTGACAGCACATTTCAGGTGAGCTACTGAGGGAAAAGGACATCAATACTTTATAACAGCTTGCTAACACAGAGTTAAAACTTAGGTCACTTTCTGGTGGGTTTTTTCCCATCCTTGTTTCAAAAATGTCCAAGCAATAGCTCTTCCAACACTGCCTTTAGGCAAAAGTACCAAGACGTGCTTCACTAGAGAGCAGCAAACTCTCTCCTGACCTTTCATTTCTGCTTCTGTCTTGCTCATTGCTACCTTCCTGTGCCACAGATCCAGTCAGCTTCAGCCCACTGCTGTAGCTTAGTACATCTAAAATAACTTAACTGACTACACTGGAGTCATCATACATTCACACTGCTGTGAGTCAGCTCAGATTTTGCCCCGTGGCGAGCTCTCTTTCCTGCATGAAGAGAGAGCTGTCTCTTGGGGCCAGCATCAGAAAGGAAGGTTTGCCCTTGTAAATGTTCAGAAGGCATTCCAAATCTCCTCACCTGGTGTCCTGGCTCCTGTGGATAGTAAAACTGAAGGCTTGGGTCCCCACCTGGGACACTGGTGTCTGACAGAACCTTAGCCAGCTCCCTCCAGTTTTCGTATCCTGTATAGAGGAAACAGAAAGAGGTGTCAGAAAACATCTAATAAAATAAACCACCACAGTTACCAGAATAAACTGGTTCTTCCAAGGCTGAGAAACCTCTAACTCTCTGAAATTGCCTAGCAGAGACCAGGAGTTGTTTATGCTCCTTGGAGTTGGAAGACTGATACAGAGAGAGAAATTGCCTTTATCTTCCTCAAAAGCTCTTCCCTCCTTCTTATTAATACTTATATTAAAGATTCATCATAGATCCAAAATACATGTCAGAGATTTCATTAATCACCACAGGACTGGGAACCTCTTTGTAGATTACTCACATAATCCCAGTGGTCAAACTAAAGGATATCAATTTTTATTAACTAGCAACGTCAAAGAAAAATAAGACAATAAATAGATTACTAATTAATTTAACCATCAAAAGCATATTATTTGTATATATTATTTTATTTGCACAGTAAAAGTATCAATCCTCTCTTCTTGAAGGAAATTATGGCAAAGAATGCTGCAATACCTAAAATATTAGCATCCCCTCCCCTCCCAGTCTGCTCAATCCAGAGGTTAGGATCAATCTTGATTTCCTTCTACAACTCTGGCGGCCTCCTGGGCTTAGAAGGGAAAAGATGAGCAGATGCAGCATAACACTGTAGCTCTCTGTGACCACTGCCCATGTCACTGATAAGACAGTGCTGGTGAGCAGAGCCTCCCGGCAGTGCTTCAGTGGCTCACACCATGTGGTTTTCAGATTTGATAAACACTTTGGCACTCAGTCAGCAACTAACCAGCCTGCCAGCACCTCAGTGCTGTGCCCACACCGCATGACAGCTTCATCATGAAGGGCAAGTGCCAAAACCTCCACAAGCCCTAACCCATTCCCAGCTGGTGGCAAACCAACTCAACATCCATGTACCAAGGAGCAGAGCTAGGCTCTCCACCCACTTTCTTTAAAACTGGAAATCATCCCCAAAGCTCTAGGAGGGTCAAGAGAAGTTGGCTGTATGTAAAGGGAATCATCCCATCATCTTCAAGTCCAACAAATTTAGACAAATGGTCTGAGCCCTCTGTACCGTTCTTGCAGCCAGAAATAGCAGGAACATGCTCTGAGGATGAAGAACAGCCCACTTCTGGGGAAACATCTGCTGTTTCAGAGCCAGCATACCCATCTTCAGTCAACTCACTCATCTTCCCCTGGCCAGTTATTGCACCTACAAACTGGGTTGAAAAACTCTGTCTCTCCTTACTCATGAATCTGGGTCCTGTGGAATCTAGCAGAGGTGAGTAGAAAAGTGAAGATGTTGAAGCTGCCTCCTATGATCTGGTGATCAAAGGGGACAATTACTGAGAAGAAAGTGCAGTAAGTGTGGAAAACATGAAAGTAGTCACAGATTCAACTGAGAGACAAGACTTGAGGCAACTAGGGTGTTCTGCTTTCCTGATGCGGGCGTTGGCTTGGATGTGTGAGTTTTGTTCGGGCCCCGTTAGATGCTGAACAGTCACAAATTTCTGATCTAGATCATCTCACCCCCAGATTTTGATTTGAAGCTATGCATTTCAGTTTATGGCTAAAAATATCAACATCAGCATTTATCTTCTGCAGAAGATTTTTCAGTCAGATGCTGTGTGATTAATCTACTGATTAATGCAGCCAAGCACATCTTGTGCTTCAAGGACTGACTGCCATGGGAAAGAAGGAGAAATTCTGGTGTCTACATAATTTTATGTGTAACTGGTGAGTTTCCACGTCGTTCAGAGCAATGAGACAGAAACCACTGTTTGTGAGTGTCCTGCAGTTGGACACACGGTCCCACTCGGAATGGGGCTGAAACAGACTTTGTAGTTTGTGTGAAATTCAGGACTTGCTACTTTGAGGGCTCATCATATTATTGGGAGAGCACAGCAGGTTGTTTTTGTTTTTGTTTTTTTTCAGAAGGGAGACCCAGAATCATAGGATATCCTGAGTTGGATGGTATCCACAAGGATCATTGAAGTCTCACTGGCTAAATTAGGGAGGAACCAAGTAAATCAGGAAAAAAAATAAAACAAGGGCAACAAAAGTCAATTCAGCCCTAGACATTCACTGAGCGAGGACGCCAAGAGAGGCAGGTTTTCTTCCTTTGTGCACGGGGGAGAGATTATTTGGTTTCATTGTTAAACTCGGCACTTCACTGCTCTGTGGCATAAGCTCTGGATGAAGCATTGGGGAACCTGCTTTTCCTGGGAAGAGGATGTTGGCCACCACAGGCAGCCACTCTGGCTGCTCCTGCCCATGGCTGGCACAGAGCCTGCCTTGCAGCAAACACAGAAGCCTGGCTGCACACCAGTGCCATGGCTGACATTTCTTTGACCCCTGCAGAAGAGAAGAAAGGGAGGCAATTCTCTGTGTTGCACAAATATTTACCTAACGCTTACATCAGCCAAACATGGAAGAGACAAAAGAACTACGACTTAATCTGGAGGCAGTGATTTCCTCGCTGGGTATAATTTGTGCTTTGGCAAGCTAATTCTCCAGCATGGTAGGAAATGATTTTCAGAAAATAATAGGATAAACCCTCCTCTCAGAGAGAGTTCTTGGCACTCCAGTTCCTTCTAAAAAGATTGGCTTTTCCCTAGGGATCTCCACTGGACACGCTGGTTTTGGAGGACCTGGCTTTGCACGTGCTTTCCACGCTAGGAGGAGAGAGCTATAGAAAAGAGACAGATCTCCTCCAGCTTCCTGCAGTCAGAACACCTCTGGAGGGCAACTGCTGATGAAGGTTTTCTCCCCAGCACAGGTCACAGGATTCAAGACATTGCCTTTCAGGTATGTATCCACTCCTGTGCAACAGCTGGAGAGTGAAGCCGTTGGCTACATCCACTGCTCTGTCTCAAGAGCATCTGAGCAAGGTTCAGCCACAGGTTCAGCCTTTCCTCAAGCTCTCCATGAGCACTGCTCAGCAGCTCAGCTGGCCCAAGCTCTCCCTTGATGGCTATTTTTAAGTCAACAAGACTACGCCTGGAAAAAAGCAGCAATCTAGAACTAAAATACCTCAGCAAACACTTCAGTATTACCAAGAAGGAACGCCAGAACTATTAGCTTTGATGGTTTTGCTCCAGCCCCTCTACAAAACCAGTTCTGGTTAGGATGGGAAAGGGCAGAAAAAACCACGAAGTAGGAAATCAAAGGCCTGGGAATAGCCTATCTCACAGCCAGGTGAAGATGTTGGCCCAGGCTTTGTTGCCATTAGTCTGTTAGACAGATGCACCAGCCAGCTCTTGGTCTTTCTCTCTTCTGAGGATCACTTCCCAAAGCATTTCCCATCACCTCCCAAAGCAGACCAGTTGTTTTCCAAGGCTATTTTTTCACCGCAAACACCTCCAAGGAAGGCAACACTGATGCAGGCACACCTTGCCAAAAGCAGCAGCCAGCCTTGCTGCCACAGACTCTGCCCTCCTTGGCATAAGGACCAGCCTCCCCACAGCCACAATGGATGATTCAGAGCAGTGATTCACCCAAAATCCATCCCACAGGAAAGAAGGGTACATGGCTTTCTGATGGGCCACCTTGCCCAGCCGAGCTGCCTGGTGGCTACACAAGCACCACAGCACAGTCCAGGGAGAGGGATGTCGCTGTAACCAGAGCAGTATCCATGCTTCCAGCACTCTGCAGTTGCACCATGCATGGTGTGACATCAGATCTGCCCCTTCCCCATCCCTGTCTGCGACGGCACAGCAGGCCCCAGAGCGTGGTAGATGGGGAGAGTTGTACAATTTTGTGCCGAGAGTGACCCGATGAGCAAGAAGATATTCTCAGAGACACTGCAGAGGGACAGAAGGGCAGATAGGTTCATGGAAATGGCAGGGGTTTTGCCCAGAGTGCACCCAAATTGTGTTTTTTATCCTCACTCCAACCTCCAGGACATTTTCCCTATATCTACAACCAGGTACTTGGCTGACATCCTTTCCGCAAGCAGATTTGCACCTTTCTTTCTACTTCTGTGCTCTGGTGGTCCAAGGTTCAAGCCTCATAGGGACCAGCCAATGCCCAGAACCATGAAGGTTCTTCTTCAGGGAAAAGTCACCCTTTTTGTCCCTGTTCCCATCAGAAACAGCTGGCAGATGCCTGAGGACCCAAATGCCCACCAGGGTTGACCCTCAACTGCCCTTCTGGATTCAAGATGGGAAGCCCCAGTACTTGAGCTTTCTTCTGGAAATAGAGGCAGGTGAACACAAAAAAAAGGTAAAGAAGTTGGAGACTGAGACAGATGCTGCATCCTACAACAGAAACCCACACAAGAGGCAGCCGGTCTGGAGCCAGTCGCCCACAGAGCCAGTGAACCAACCATTAAGAGACAGAAAAGCTGTAGCAAGAGAAAATAAGATGAAGATGATTCTTGACATGACCCTGGTCAGGGCCCAGGGCCATGTCTGCCTCTCCTCAGCTATGCAATGCACTTGAAGCCCAGCTCAAGAGAGAAAAAAAAAATTAAAAAAGCAGAAAGCCGCAGCCAGAGATAACAGGCAGCAGTACCCGGGGAGCTATCAGGCCTCGGGGCAGGAGCGTGACCAGAGCTGCTCTGTGTATTCAGAGATTAGATCCACCAAGCCACCGTCGTGCCCCGGGCCCCAGACAGCACTCGATGTTTCAATTAGCCTGCAAAGGTAGCTGGCAATGGTGCAAGGGGGAAATCCCAGCCTCGCTCAGGTGATCGGTTTCCCCTCTGAAGGATGAGATTTGATTACTCTGCTGTTGGTACTGTTGCTTACATAGCTGCAAATGCTATTAACACCCACATAATATCCAGCCCTTTTGCAACCCTGCTAAATGATTTCACTCAGCAGCCTCAGGAAAGAGCAGGTCCACTGGTTTGGACAAAAAGCATTTTAATTCTTATCTGAGATCCTGCTCCTTTTTGTTGTCAGGACAGGGCAAGAAAAAGACTGGCAGGTATGAAGCAGGGTTATGTTCTTCATTACCCACAGACTCCTCACCATGGCTTGATGTTTTAATCCTCTGTTGGATCGTCTTA